AAATTGTTCAATTGGTCAAGATCTATTAGCCCTGAAATTTTCAGACAAATCGAACAACCCATTGTAGGGTTACTGCCACTAAATTGGTAGTTTTGAGGAAATTTTGCAGTTTTTTGTTATTATCTTGAATATTATTATAGATAGATATAAACTGTAAACAGCAATAATGTTCAGCAAAGTAAGATCTACAGAAAAATTAAATTACCAAATTTGTCAATTGACCCCTTAAGGAGTTATTGCCCTTTAAATACAATTTTACACAATGTGTTCATCAAGTTTGCTAACATTTAAAAATCTTCTCTTCTGAAACTATTGTGCCTAATACTTCTTAACTTTGAATGAATGTTCCTTTAGGAATCTAGTTTATGAATTGTATCCGAAATTTTGATCCATCAACAAACATGGCCGCCATGGCTAAAAATAGAACATAGGGGTGAAATGCAGTTTTTGGCTTATATCTCAGAAACTAAAGCATTTAGAGAAAATCTGACATTGGGTAAAAATGTTCCAAAAGGTCAAGATCTATCAGCCCAGAAATTTTCAGACACACTGATCAACCCATTGTTGGGTTGCTGCCACTAAATTAGTTGTTTTAAGGAAATTTTGCAGTTTTTGGTTATTATCTTGAATATTATTGTAGATAAAGATAAACTGTAAACAGCAAAAATGTTCAGCAAAGTAAGATCTACAAAAGGTTTATATGACCAAAATGGTAAATGGACCCCTTTAGGAGTTATTGCCTTTTAAGGACAATTTTACACAAGTTGTTTTATATTTTTTAACTTTAAAAATCTTCTCAAATGAATCTAGTATAAATTTTGTACTTCATTTCCTTGTACGTCAAGAAACATAGACACTATGGCTAAAATGGAACATATGGGTAAAAAGCAAAAATAATCATTGATGAAAGATTTAAGCAAAAAAAATAACAGGTGAGCGATTCAGGCTTTTGAGAGCCTCTTGTTTCGATTAATATCCTTCTGGTATATTTTGCCTCTAATTTACTCTTTTAAATTCTTCGTATACCTTAAAATTGCTTTTAAGTGAGAAATTTGGGAAAACTAACAAAATAGCATACTCCGAAAGCTTTCAACATTTTCTTTGCAAACAGTAAACAGAAAAAAGTGACATTTTTTTTTTCAAAATTGGCGTATTTTTACGGAAGCCGATAAGGGTCATTCAAAAAAATTAATTTATGTCGTAAATACGACATAGTATGTCGTAATAACGACATCGCTATGTCGTAATAACGACATATTATGTGGAAATAACGACATCGCTATGTCGTAATAACGACATATTATGTGAAAATAACGACATCCTTATGTCGTAATAACATCTATATCGTAATTACGACATTGTTATATCATCTATAACGACAACCTTAGAATTGCTACTTTGTGAGCATCGACACACTATGGGAAACAACATTTGCATCTTTATTTTAAGAACAACTTATCAGAATTGAATCAAACTTGATATACGTGTGCACTATATAAGGTCCTATTCAAGTGTTGCTTCTTAGTTACCCATTGGTTAAAACACATGACCGCCAAGGGACTTTGAAAAAATCAATGTTCAAAATCTTCTTCTCAAGATCGCTGAAATGACTGAGTTTAAACTTAATATAAATATACAATGTGTACCTAGTATCCAGGTCCTTAAAAAGAGTTTTTACGTTTTGAGCTGATTCGAAGTTAAAAATGGCCACCAGTGAGGGCAAAGTTTGTATCAAAACCCTATCGTAAACATATTCATTTTTGAGAATGATAACCACTGAATTTAATCAAGCTTAAATAATATTAAAGTTAGTTACTCCATATGTCTGCACATAATAGAACTTTATTTCATGATCAAGTCTAATGGGACCCATTGAAATGGTGAACGATTCAGGCTCCTTGGAGCCTCTATTTATATTTGGCATGTATGTAGATCACATCAAGAAGATGTGTTTAGTATCCGAAAGACTATGTGTGCTATTGCAATCGCTTGTCGTCCGTCGTCGTCTGTAGTTACCGTTAAACTTTTATTAAAGATTACAAAAATCACAAAATGTTGATAAAAGTTTAGCCTTTGTTTTGTTATTTTTGACGTTCATCGCAGGCGAGGCAAAAATCTGTTATTTCGCTATGTGGTCTATTTGTAAAGTATTGTGGAAATAATTGCATAAAGTTCGAGATTGCATGTGAGTTACGTAAGCGCGTAACTGTTTTTTATATCCTGTGGTGTTCGTCTTTGATGAAATATGTTCGTTGTTGTTCTGCAGTTTACATATTTTGCGACTATTACTACACTGTAGTATATTATTTGTTTGTGCGTTTCTCTGTGATGAATGTTCTTGCGTGTGTTTGATCTGTATTTCTGTCACGTAGTGTTATCATTTCAGCGACATTTTTAACATTGTCATAAAGCGGGAGGTTTGGCTAGCCATTAAACCAAGTTCAACCCACCATTTGTTCCTAAAATGTCCTGTACCAATTCAGGAATATGACAGTTGTTATCAAATAGTTCGTTCTATGTATGTTATTTAAGGGTTTATTTTTGTTCACTTTAGTGTTCCTGTTGTTCGTTTATTTTCCTCTTACAGTTGATAAGTTTCCCTCGGTTTTAGTTTGTAACCCAGATTTGTTTTCTCTCGATCGATTTATGACCTTTGAACACCGGTATACTACTGTTGCCTTTATTTAGTAACAGTGTCCATGCTGTTGGTTGCCGGTCAAAATCGACGGACTTCAAGTGATGACAATACATGTAGCTATCCCAAAAAATGTTTTATTAGAGGACACAACTCAGGTATGGGTCAAACTGATCTTTCTGAAATTTTCGGTATAGGTCCATTTTGTCATGATGAACCCTCAACAGATTTGAGATAATTGTAACGATATTGGAGACATTATCAAAAAACTAATGTGTGACCATTATGTCCTATTTTTTCAAGTTAATAACAGCGGCTGTGATTTTAAGGAGTCGAAAATCAAAGCACGCCTTTTGTGAAGGAAACATTTAACAAGGAAAAATCAAACTAACTTTTAAAGAATTTTGCACATTAGTTTCAAAGGAGATTTTTAAAACACACTTACGACAGACGACGACGGACAGACAACAAACGATGGCAATCGCTCGCATACCACTTCGAGTACGAGACACAACTTCCTTAGGTGATAGGTGAAGGTCAGGGGATTCATTAGGCTCGATTATTAGGGGTCCAAAGTTTAACATAGGCCCCAATGGAAAAAGCTTTGAAAATCTTCTCCTTAAGAACTACCAGGCCATATTGGATCAATCTTAGAGAATGGATGATCCTTATATGATGAGGATTAAAAATGAAAAAAGAAGATGTGGTATGATTGCCACAAGAAACCAAATGACACAGAAATTAACAACTATAGGTCACCGTACAGCCTTCAACAGTGAGCAAAGCCCATACCACATAGTCAGCTATAAAAGGCTCCGAAATAACAAATGTAAAACAGTTCAAACGAGAAAACTAACGGCCTAATTTATGTACAAAAAATAAACGAAAAACAAATATGTAACACATCAACAAGCAACAACCACTGAATTACAGGCTCCTGACTTGGGACAGGCACATACATACAGAATGTGGCGGGGTTAAACATGTTAACGGGATCCTAATCCTCCCCATAAGTTTGTAGGAATAGTTGTCCTGGGGAACATTGGTTTAAAGAACTTTGGGTCCAAGTTTAATACAGGCTTCAATGGGGAAGACGCTGTAAGAATCTCATTAAGAACTAACAGTAGCAATGCAGTTATAATTTGCATCAAGCATCAGTAGGCCATTAAGATGCAATTGTGTACAAATAAAGGTACATAGGTCCATGGGTCTGAGCACTAGGAGTCCAAAGTTTAACATAGTCTTTATTTGGAAAAGCTTAAAATTCATCTTCTTCAGAATCTGCAATGGAAATGCAGTCATATTTTACACGAATCTGTACATGCCAAACATAACTAGAGGCTCCAATGAGCCTGAATCGCTCCCCTGTTCAACTGGGTCTCATTTGACTTGATTATAAAATAAAGTTCTAGTATGTGCAAGTAAATAACTTTAATTAAGCTTGATTGCATTTAGTGTTCATTATTCTCCAAAAAAGATGAATTTGTTTACGCTACAAACTTTGCCCTTACTGACGACCATTTTGAATTTTCTATCGCCTCAAAAACTAACAACGCTAAGGTTGTCGTCATTATGACATAGCGATCAGGAGCCTGTAATTCAGTGGTTGTCGTTTTTTGCTGTGTTACATATTTGTTTTTTGTTCAGTTTTTGTACATTAATAAAGCAGTTAGTTTTCTCGTTTGAATTAAATTGTTTAACATTTGTCATTTCGGGGCCTTTTATGGCTGACTATGCGGGGGCTTTGCTCATTATTGAAGGCATTATGATGACCTATAGTTGTTAATTTCTAAGTCATTTAGTCTCTTTGCAATCATAATACATACTCTTTGTTTATATATATAGCGATGTCGTTATAACGACTTAAGGATGTCGTTAAAACGACATAAGGATGTCGTTATTACGACATAGCGATGTCGTTATTACGACATGCTATGTCGAAATTACGACATAGTTATGTCGTTATAACGACATGCTATATCGTAATTACGACATAAATTATTTTTTTCGAATGACCCTTATCGGCTTCCGTATATTTTAGGTATTTTTTGAAATATTAGTTTGTCACGATACAATTTTTTTGAACACATAAATGCCTTTCTTTTTTTACTTCTCTATTTTGTCCGTTTTTAACCAATTTGTATTTATTTGGATACGATGTGGTGTACATCAATATACATATAAATATTCATTGCGTTAATAGTAAACAAATTAGCGTCTGTAAATTCGAACTAATGAAAGAACTATAAATGGAGTGACAGAAATTGATGCGATAATCTATAATATTTGACAGTATGAAATACTTTGAAAGAATAGCAAGAACGGTTAAATTAATTTAATTATGCGATGCACAAGACGTTTCAGATGTCTATTACACGCCAAGATGCAGATTTCTATCAAGTTCAAATGTTTTTGCGTATCCATCACTATACATATTTGATTAGCTTCTTCCGAATTTATTTTCTCTTTTACAGCGAGGTCGGCAATGTGTTCAATCAGCTTCTTCCAAATTTATTCAGCGAGGTCGGCAGCAGAATCGATTTTCGAATAAGGCATTTTGGGAATCATACAGAAGTTCTATCTTCATCTTTTGTGTGGCGATTCAAGGAGATCGACAGGAATGATTTACTTTGCAATTTTCATTTTGTGCGTTTCTGAAATTGTTTCTGGTAAGAAGATATTTTATAAATTATTTATTTGTAGATATTATGTAATAAAACACACACATTTTTATTCATTATTTTTAAGGAAACTTGAGGATAACTTCCCGACTGCAAACAAGCATCATATAAAAGTCTGCCTAATTTATTTTTTTCAGTTGTATTTCTGATTCAGCATTGACATCGTTTGAGATGTATATAAAATAGAAGATATTTTAGTTTAAAAGCATGTGTGATTTTTTTTTTATAGTTTACATTAAATTTAACTATAAATTTTCACAGGGTTAATGAGAAATGTTCACATATTTTAAGTCATGTTGGACAATTGACGTTCCTGCTCAAGGGTTGACTGGGCTATTAAAATATTTCTCCACTCTGACAGAAAATCCTCTATTAAATAGTGGCCAGTTTGAATATGGGATGTATAAATACGTAGCCACGTCAAGACGGAATACGGACGTTTATTCCGATGCCGCGAGACGGGATTATGTTATGTTATCTTCTAATATAAGTCTGCTCTGGCAATATTACATGCGTTCTTATTCCCGCCAACACGCCAACTCTCGTTACCTGGTAACTATCTGAGATCTTATCCTGAGCTGGGTAGCTTACCATGGATCATTCCGGGAACCGGGCTACGCGGTATATCTAACTACCGTACTGTCTACATAGTAATGTCACGTCCATTATTCCATATTACACAACACTCCCCCCCACTTTGAAAGGAGTGAGTTTACTTCCTATTCGAATATTCACTATCTTCCTTTAGTCCACCCCGTCTGGTCGCACCACGGGGATACAAATACATCTCCATATATATAGTTATATATATTTTCCAATGTTGACATATTAACAACATACATATATTTCAAAATTCCACAATTGCTCCGTCTTCGCTCTGCAGAGTTAATTTATAACTATCATATCATTCCTTGATATATATATATATTATAAGCAATCTTCACTGTTGATGTAATTTCAAATCAAAATTTACAACTGATTTCCTTTATCCTCTATGTACACACGGATCTGCTCTATATACACATCATAGTATCCTGTCTTATATATGAAGTTACCTTGCGGTATCAGAGTCTTGGCACCGTGGACATCTGAATTTTACCATAGTGTCAGCCAGCGCTGGTGTCAAATCTATACAAGCTCCATGGTACCACTCATCACAGAAATCACACTGTATCATAAACAGTCCATCATCTGGTTTTCTGCACAAACAGTGTAAGTCTGGGTTAGTCGCCTTGGTTACATCTTCACCGTCCTGTAACCGGTGCTGGCACTGTTTTAACCAGGGTGGTACTTCTCTGTCTTTACATGGCTTTAAACGGTCATGATTTATTGTCAGTACAGTTTTTTGTAATTTTATCTTGTACACATACGAAGATAATTTGGCACATACAAGTCCTGGACCTTTCCAAGGTGGGTCCAATTTCTTCGCCCTACCTTTAATTTTTGCCGTGTCTAAAACATAAACTAAATCTCCTATTTTGTATTCTCTCTCCAGAATACGTACATCATAATCACGTTTCATGGTATTCTGTGTAGTTTTTAGCGTGTTGCGCGCTATTTCATGTGCAGATGTTATGGCATCTCTGAGTCTTATCACATACTCATCTTGTGACTCGTCTGTTTTAGCACCAGGTACGCTGTACAATAAATCAACAGGCTGGTTAACCTCTCTCCCAAGCATTAGCATGTTTGGCGTAAAACCAGTACTTCTGTTCACCGACGATCGAACAGCTCCTGCTAACTGTGCCAAGTGTTCATCCCAATTGTCTTGTTGTTTAGACACGAAGCAACGGACGGCGTCCATTAAGGTTCTGTTGCAACGTTCTGCTTGTCCGTTTGAGGATGGTCTGTACGGAGTAGTTCTTGCTTTGTGCATTTGCAAGATTTCACAGATGGATTTGAAAAGCTTGCTTTCAAAATTGCGTCCTTGGTCTGTAAAAACCTGAAATGGGAATCCAAAACGAGAGAAAAACTCGTTCACAGCAGCTCTTGCCGTATGTTCTGCAGTTTGTGCTGGTAACGGAATACATTCCATCCATTTGGAAAACTGATAAACCATAACTAGTACATGTGCATTCCCAAATTTCGTCTCTGGCAGTGGTCCTAGAAAATCTAAGTGGACACGCTCCATTGGTGCACCTGCATGAAACTGGGTGAGCGGACATTTAGCCTTCCTGTTTGGCTTCTTGTGTAAATTGCATGTACTGCATGTTTTGACAAAGTCTCTTATTCGTTGTGTCATACCATACCATTGATATTTCGCCTTGATTCTTAATGTGGTCCTATTCATACCTTGATGACCTGCAGCAGGAATATCATGACATAATGATATCACTTGTTCTACAAGATCTCTTGGTACCACAAGTCTTGGTGTTCTGTCTTTCTTGTCCAAATTTTTCAATATTCCATTATCATCTAAGTAGAACATATCTTTGTTTATCCAATATTTCTTAGCTATTGGACTGCATCTGAATATTGTAGCCTCTGATGGTTCTGTTTTGTCCCTGAACCATACCAGTATTAACTCCAAGTCTGGGTCTTTAGACTGATAATCTCGTAATTGCTCTGGTGAATAAGTACTAGCTTCTATACCTGTCTCAGTAATGGCATTTACATTTGGAATGTCCAAATATGTCGCGTAAACTGACATACCAAGTAGTGTAGTGACTATTTCAACTGAACTGTGACAAACATTTTGGTTCTGGCTTTCTGTATCTTGATTGGTACTGTCAAATACTTGTGGCTTGACCGGAGATGTACCTAAATTCTCATTCACGTGACTTGTCACGTTCTGGTCCCCGTCTTGTGATATTGAACTATCTGGTGTAGCATTATCCTCTATAATTACATTTGTATGTTGTGTAATGTCCTGTTTCATTAATTTGTTCTCTGAAATCAAAGAACTCGGTAGTACTGTAAGTGGTCCTGTATTGTGTGTTTGCTCAAAGGTTTTACAGTCTTGATGCGAAGCTATGGGAATAACGTTATCTACGTCTTCTAGAAATCCAAGCCAACTTTGGTGAGCACGAGTACAATAATCGCATGCTCCACAGGGTAGATTGTGTTTTAGCACGTTCCCAGCTGCTAATCTATTCTGTGAACAAGCTAAATCTGGCAGACGTGATAATGCATCCGCATTTTGGTGTCTTTTACCTGGCCTGTGCTTTACTGTCATGTGATACTGGCTTAGCTCCTCTAACCATCGAGCTAGTTGTCCTTGTGGCTCTTTAAAGTGCAATAACCATGTTAAACTACTATGGTCTGTACGGACTATAAACTCTCTTCCTAAAAGGTAATGTCTATAATGTCTGGTGAATTTCACTACTGCAAGCAATTCTTTTCGTGTCGTGCAGTATCGTTTTTGCTCATGGGTTAATGAAAAACTTCCGTAGGCAACGGGACGCTCTACGCCATCTTGGACTTGTATTAACTCTGCGCCAATTGCGAAATTGGAAGCATCTGTGTCCAAAATAAACGGATCTTTACTGTTGGGTAATGCCAATAACGGAGTTGTTGTCAATGCCTCTACAAGTTTGTCAAAAGCCTCTTGCTCTGAATCTCCCCATTTGTACGGTTTCTTACCGGTCAATTGGTACAAAGGGTAGGATAGATCTGCAAAATTCTTGATGAAAGTTCTATGATAATTAGCAAAGCCAAGATATTGTTCAACCTCTCTTGTTGTTGTAGGTTCTTTCCGGTTTTTAACAACTTCAACATATTCACTGCCAATTGCCATACCATCTCTATTGATTGTTCTGCCTAAAAAGTCTATTTCCTTTTTAAAGAAATCACATTTCCTGGGTTTCAATTTGAGCCCATACTCTCTGAAACGTTCAAAAACTGATCTCAAATTCTGTAAATGGTCTTCAAATGTCTTTCCCATTACTAGAATATCGTCCAGGAAGGCGAGTACAACATTCCATGTTAAACCTCTGAGAACGAGATTCATTACTCGTGAATATGTTCCAGGGGCATTGCAAAGGCCAAAACTCATTCGGACAAAGTGGAATAATCCATATTTAGTGATGAAGGCAGTCTTTTCCTTGTCTGAGTCCTTCACTTTAATCTGATAATATGCACTATTAGCGTCCAATTTTGAAAACCATTCGTTTTCCGCTAAAGTGTCCAAACATTCGTCTATCAAGGGAAGCGGATAGACATCTTTTTTCGTCACGAAATTCAACTTCCGGTAATCAATACACCAGCGCACGTTGCCATCGCGCTTGCGCACAAGTACTGGGGCAGATGCCCATTCTGACATAGATGGTTCTATGATACCTGCATCTAACATTTTCTTTAAATGGTTTTCTTCTTCGTGTGCAAATCACATGGGTGTTCGTCTTATTCGTTGTTTGATAGGGCGCGCATCACCTGTATCAATCTCGTGTTCAATGTGGTTAAATGTTCCCAAGTCAAAATCATCTAGTGCAAAAACATCAGCAAATTCATGAAGTAAATTTGCAACTTTGGACTTTTGGTCTTCAGCAAGTGTACTGGATTTATCCAATATGTTCTGCAACTATTCCGGTAGTGTATTGTTATCTCTGGCTATTCCAGTTGTTGCTACTGAAGGGGCTGGCCCCGTTTCAACAACATCAGCTTCAATTGCTTCGTCTAAAAGAGTTCCCTTTTGCAAAACTATCTTGTTGTTGGTTACATTAAGTAAACTGACACATGGCAAAGAACTAGCGTTGTAATAACCACGTGGGATTAACAAATCTATCTCTTTATTAGGTTCAACTATAAAATCAGTTAATTCCGCTGACAAATCTGACTCTAATTGTACGACTGAATTAGGAGGTATGACTGTTCTATATGGAACGGTTATTTTAGCTACTCTTGCTATAACGTTCACAGGCGCTACCAGTCCAATATGTCCATGTACCATAGGTAGTGCCTCTCCATTGATGAAGAAGATTAATTTTCTGCAGTCTAAAATTACTTTTGCTTTGACTAGAAAATCAAGTCCTAATAGCATGTCATTATCA